CCCATGACCCCCAGGCTCCCTACCCCAGCCCTCACCTGCCCTCATTGGCCTCCAGACCCTCCACCTCGCTCATGGCTTCGCTGAGCTCCTCCCGGAGGCGCTGGATCTCCACCAGCAGCTCCTGCTTCCGCCGTCGAATGTTCTCCAGCTCCATCCGCTCCTCCGGAGTCAGGTCCGGGGGTTCTGGGGGAGGGGATCAGGGGCGGGAGGTCAGTTCTGGGGACTGGGAGCCTGGACTTCTGAAATCTGGCGAAGGACAGGGCTCCTAGGTTCATGGGGAGGATGAGGATAAGAGTCCCGCCTCCAGTCAGTGGAAGAAGGGGCTGGGAAGCCTAGATTCCTCAGTCCAGGGGAGGAAGGGCTGGGAATCCAGACTCTTAGTCCTTGGGAGAGAAAAGGGCTGGGAGCCTCTACTCTTAGGTTTACAGGGGAAAGGGGGCTGGAAGCTTGACACTGCGGTTCATTACTTGCAAGGGGCCTGAGGCCTTGGTTTTCTGCCTCCATTCTTGGCGAGGTAGCTGGGGACCTGGGTGCCCGGACTCCTTGGTCCATGGAAAGTAACCATGGCAGGGGAAGCTAATGACAGCTTGAGAGAGTGAAGGAAGGGGCGGGGCATCGAAGCCCCCCGCCCCCGCCCTAGCGGAATCTCTGTGGCCCCCACGATTTCTCCCCACCGCACCGCCCCCAGAAGCCCCCCTCCCCTCTCCCGGCAGGCACTGGGCTCGCCCGGCCCCTCCAGAGGGAATGGTTCCGCCCCAGCCTCGCCTCCGCCGCTCCATCCCACCCCCTCCCGCTGCCACCGGAAACAGGCTCGGCCCAAACAATGGCCTGGAACGCCCCGCTCTCCGGCCCTGCCGGAAGCCCGTCCCGCGCCCCACAAAAGCGAGGCGACAACGGGGCCGAACAAGCTTCGCAAGGCGCGCGTCTTGGGAGGGGGGAGGTCGTTCGCTGCGGAACATTCGGACCGAAACCCTCCATCTGCTCCCAGCCGGCCCCGCCCCTCCCCGACTTACCATAGACACCGTCCTCCATGGCGGCTAGGAAGGCCCGCGGGGAGTCCGGGGCGGTCCCGCCGGTCGGGCCCGGATCCGCGTTGGCCCGCGGGCTCGGATGAGCCCGCTCAAACGCCCCGGGAGCCACCGCCGCCTCCTCAGCGCCAGTCCTCAGCGCTGAAAAGACTCTCCCTTCGTCTCCCAACCGCCCCGCCAGTAGGGACCGCCCCTCGTTTTGACATCGCCCAATCCACGGCGTGCCCTCTCGTCTGCTCCGCCTCCGAAACCGAAGGATCGCCCTCCAGGGCCAATAGGCGCGCTAGGAGCAGACGTAGCACTGTCCAGCCCAAAGTAGACGGTCTGTGGGGCAAATTGGAGAGAGAGCAGGGGCCAGACCCCGCCTCCGAAACCAAAGGGTTCTTGGCAGGATTGCCCTCCAATGAGAAGCCTCGAAAAGGAGGTGCATGGAGGCGGGACTAAGTAGACGCCGAAGGAGGACTACGCCTGCGCAAGGGCTCTGCGCACCAGGTCAACCGAGCCCGGGTTCTATCAATACGTTGCCAGGGGGCGGTACTTTGTTAGGTTTGTTGCTAGGGGGCGTGGCCACAGCTCGCGGTTGTTTCCGTGAGCCACACCTCTTAGCTGGCCTGCCTGTCTTTTGACCGCAGTGGTTGCCAAGCAACCGGGAGCCGCTTTGGCTCACTTTCCTTTTGGCCCCCTCTCTCAAGTGTACTGGCCTCTCCGATCTGCAGACCCTTTCCTTACCCTCCTCCTTTGACCTCCCCCATCCACCTCAGCCTCTTCAGAGTCAAGCAGTGGTGAAACAAAAGACTTCTCTTTCTTCCAAATGCTGCGCTTTTTGGTCTCTGTCGTGGAGAATGGGACTATAGAGGAAGGCCAAATCCAGTGATAGGACAGGCTCTGCCTTCCTGCCTCTCGCAGCCTCTCAGTTTCCTCCCTCTATCCCCGAAACTCCTCCCTTTATGTTAGCATCCTTTCCCCGCCCAGGACAATTCCCTTTTCCTCAGCATCCTTCCACCTCTGGTCCCTTCCCCCTTCCCCGAGTCCTTTCCCTCCTCTCTGGCTCGTGTCATTTCGCGTCCCCCTCCTGTCATACTCATGCTCTTCTTAAACTCTTCCCTCCTCTCCGAGTCCTCTGGCATCTGAGACCATTTCCCCTCCCCCACCTCTCCATTCCTTGAAGGCAAAACAAGTGCAGGGGCCTGGCTCGGAGGGAGAAACTGGGTACCCCCATCACGGGCAGGTCCCAGATTGGGCCTGAGGGTCATGTCTGGGCCTGGGCCTCACTCGCCATCCCAGAGTTCGGCAGGCAGGGACAGATTCCAGGCCAGGACCTGGTTAAGCTGACCGATTAGACACGGAGCCTCCTAATCCCCTCAATGACCTTTATGAGTGGCTCAGGCTCTGCCCTCCCTACCAGAAACCCAGGTTGTGCCAGCCCTGACCCTACTTGCTCCCCTTCCAAACAGAATCCTTTTCCTGTCCCTTCCTTCACCCCCAATTTAACACCCTTCATGCTTGGGTTTCCATTGCCCCGCTGCCTACTCCAACCACCCAGAGGTGGGGGAACAGCCAGCTAATTAATCCCATCCGGTTATTAGCTGGAGATTCTGCAGGATAAAGGGAGGTGGGGAAATAGGAAGGGGGGGAAGTGGGTTGACGCAGCACTGAGACGGGTTGATGGGCAATGACAGTGCCTGCCCTCAATCCTGGCACACAGGGGTGGGAACATGTCCTCCTTGGCACTGGCTCCTTCTGCGACTGGCTTGCCTGCTGGGCACTTAGGTAGATAGCAGGCCAGATTCAAGGACCCATATGTACCCCAGAAGCACACTCCCAGACACACCACTGGGGTTCCCAATAATTTGACCTGGGGGACAAGCCTCCCTAAACACATACATTCCCCTGACATTCAGAGATAACTCTTCCTTCCCCTGCCCCTCCAACCTGAGCCAGAAAGGAGGTGATTCTGGCCCTTAGCCACAACCCATTTTCTCCCTTGCCTGCCCTGTCATGCAGGCATCCAAGTTCAGACCTGGCCTCTGAGAGCATCTCCCATCCCTGTTGCCCCCAGAAGGCCAGGCATTCCAGCACCTGGTGGGGGGAGCTGGCGTATCTCCAAGACCCCCATTCTACCCTCAGTGAACTGAAGAATAATCCTAGTGGAAAGGCCCCTGGACAACTTCAACTTCCAGTGTCTTGTTTTTCACAGATGGGGAAACTGAGGTGAGGGCTTCTCTGTGGTGCTAGTGGTAAAGAATCCACCTGCCAATGCAGGAGATGTGAGAGACGGGGGTTCAATCCCTGGGTAGGGAAGATCCCCTGGAGGAGGGCACGGCAACCCACTCCAGTGTTCTTGCCTTGAGAATCCCATGGACAGAGGAGCCTGGAGGGCTACAGTTTATAGGGTTGCACAGAGTTAGACATGACTGAAGCAACTTTCACAGCACAGCACAAACTGAGGTGAGGAGAGAGGGGGTGATTTGCTCAAAGCCACACACTCAGTTGAGGCAGAGTTGGGACAGAGCAGAACTTCCTGGATCCTTGTGAAGGACTCTATTCCACTTCCTCAAGCTCAGTTTCTAACCCTACTGTAGGAACCACGGGAAAAAAAATAGATAGATATATTTATTCATATTATATATATATATTTATAATACATATATGTATAACATCTTTAAGAAATAGACACGCATCACTAGATGGAAGATTCCAGAGCACTGTAGACTCACCAGCCTTGGGCCTCTCCCTTCCCTTGCCCAATAACCAGCCCTGTTACCCACAGGGTCTCACCCAGGCCCTCACCTTCTAGGTCAGCCCAGCAATGCTGCCAAGTCAAGTCCCAAGTCCACCTCCTCGAACGGCCACGTTCCAGGAGCTGATTAGAGCTTCCAGATTGACAACAGACAGCTCTAGGTCCCTGGAGCCTGGACTCCCTTTGGCATCACAGAACCACAAAGAAGTCGTCTATCCTCATCAATACTCTCCACTCCATTGGTCAAGCTGGGACCAGCAAATCTCAGACGTCATCACTGCCAATCCTTCCCTGACTGTGATCAGTCTAGAGTTACAGAATCTTGATTCCTTTGGATATTCTAGAATGGCACTTAAAAAAAGACACAAAGCCTGTGGATCATGGAGAAGCCTTGCATCTCTCTTTGGTTCGATGTTCTACCACCAGTGGGTCTGGAGTTGTTGCCTATCAAGAACTCCCAGTCTGTCACTTTAGTCCTTGTAGACCCACAGACTCTCCACTGTTTTGTGCATTCTAGAGACATAACTCATTAGTTTCTGGAATAGTCCAACTCTCAGGTCAAAGCTGCTCTAGAACCGCCAGTGCTGGCCTCTGTGGCCAATCTGGATTCACAGAATCTCAACTCTGGGGTTTTCTGGAGCCACAAAGTCTTTCCTTGACTTACAGTCAACAGTCTTTGTCACTGGTCAGTCAGGACAGTCTTAAATTCTTGGGGGCATCCCATAACTTCCCCTCCTTAGGTCATCTATAAAAAGTGATTTGCTATGGAGTCGACTGAGTTGAGAAGCAACAGTCCCTTGAATCTAAGGTCAGTTCAGGCCAATGAATTCTGGTTCTCTGTTGCTTCTTGAGAACAGCTGACTTCTTCCCCTGGAGGCAGTCTACATTTCATGATCCTGCTTAACAAACAAAACCAGCCACCTAGAGGAATCTAGAATTACCAGTCCTCACCTCTTGAGGGGTCCAGAATTCTGGGTCCCTTATCTCTAGTGAGACTCAGGAATTGGAATGACAATTGGGTCTCAAGAGGGAGCACAGAATTCAGAGGAATTAAGGTCCCTCCAGTATGTTCATGGTGGGTCCACTAGGCATGGCAGAACATCACCAGCTAGTAATTTACTGAGCAGGCCTGTTGGTCTTAGGAAACACCTGCCTCCACCCCAGGAGAGGGCCCAATCTCTCCATCTTGCTACCTCTGGGAAAGGGGTGCAAATAAGGGATGCCAGCTTGAGTCACGGGGGCAAGGTCAGCGCCAGGGTTGGTGTGAGAACTCGGGGGCTGGCAGCCATGTCCTCTGCCTCTGCTGCATCCCCTTCCGTGGCCTCCTCTTCCTCATCTTCTTCCTGGCAGCAGCTCAGAGCAAGTTCATTCTCATAGCAGAATGCTGCCAGAGAGCTGGGGAAGCCAGACTTGGGGCTCTGGGAGGCGCGCTCTGCCCGTTCGTCCAGCTCCTTGGCGCTACAGACAGGCGTCCCTGGAACCTCGTAAGTGCGATGGAAGTGGCGATAGTCGACCTCGTACTGGGAGCCACGCTGGAAGAGGACTGGCTCGAAACGATGGCCCCAGAGCAGCTCACCAGGGAGGTAGGAAGAGCGACACTGTGTGGTCATAGCTGTGGCCTCGACCATGCCCTCGAGAATGACCACAAGCTCAAAGTCAGCCCGGGCCAGCTCAGCACGTCCTAGTTCATACAGAGGACTGGCGGAGTCGATCTCATGCACGATGGTGATGGGAGACACAAGGAAGATGCGATCAGTGCCACCATCAAAGCCCACATCCACATCCTGGTGGTCCAGAGGTATGTACTCACCCTCCGGGGTCACTCGAGGCTGCAGCAAAAGACAGGTGGCCAAAGAGAACAGGGAGCAGAGAGATGAATGGAGACAGAGATAGCAAGAGGAGGGGACAGAGGTGCAGAAGAAGAGGAGGGCAGAGACCAGGAGGCGTGGGGGTGCAGAGAGAACATGGACCCAGAGAGAGAGGGATGGTCATGCAGAAAAAGAAGAGGACACAGACCCAGAGAGAGGGAGATGGTAGTCCAGGAAGGTGAGGACGGAAGCCCAGAGGAGGGGGGTGGAGTAGACAGAGACTCAGAGAGGGTTTGGGGAAGGAAATCCGAGAAAGACAGGGGAGAGAAAAAGATAGTGACAGAGTGACATTGGCACAGAGCCACAGAAATCAGCAAGACGGAAACAGAGTTAAAGAGACAACAGATGATAAGAATCACATCCAAAAGCAATTGGAGGAGAGGGATAGAAAAATGGCTTTCAGTATATGGCCAGAGAAAGATTAACCAGGATGACAATCTAAGTCCAACAGAAGCTATGCTTATGTTCTGCCTATGTTTCACCATTGCCTCAGTGTAGTCCCTGGGATATTCACTTGCCTACCCCTCCAACAGAGGATGAGATGGTTGGATGGCATCACCGACTCAATGGACATGAGTTTGGGTAAACTCCGGGAGTTGGTGGTGGACAGGGAGGCCTGGTGTGCTGCGGTTCATGGGGTCGCAAAGAGTCGGATACAACGGAGTGACTGAACTGAACTGAACCTCCCCAAGCCAACTACTTCCATCCTCTTGTGTGTCTGTGTATTTCTGTGGGGTGGAGGCCTAACCCCAGGCCAGGTATCAGCAGTTTCACCCCACCTACCAAGTCCTATCAGTGCTGCACAGACTCCTGAGAAAGACAGTGTCCCTCCTGGTCATGAAGCTCTGGATTTCAGTCAAGCAGGAGACAGAAGTGGAGAGTGGGGCTCCATTCTCTTCCCATTGTCTATGCAAATCCCTAGAGGCTGCTGGGAGTTGTAGTTCCCACCACAACCCTGTCCTCATCCAAGTCCAGCCCCAGCCCTGTGTTCTTAAGCATCTTTGCCCCAAAATTTGTTTGGGCAGTTTGACCACAATTCTAGAAACACTAAGGCTCTTTTATCAGGGTGCCAGAGGGAGCCGTTGCCCCAGGGGCCAATGGGAATTGTAGTTTTGTTTTTTGCTGAAACGCTAAAATTCAAGTTTCCCAACCCCCTGCCCTGTACTTCTCTGAGCAGGAGGCTGGTGGGAAAGTCTGGGCCCCTGAGGTGGAAAATGAAGGCCCCCACAAATGCTGCAGGACCACACACCAGGAGGCCTCGGAGAATTGTCTTCCCTGGCTCTGCAGGTGTGAGCAGCACCCCATCCTCAGACCTGCATCTCCCACAAGCCCACAGGAGCCTGACCTCCATCCCGGGCCTCTCTCTGTACCATAACACTGGCTGGGGATAGTAAACCTGAGCCGTGGTTTATACCACCAGCAAAACTACAACGCCTCTTCAGACCACCCTGAGTGGGCGTTTTCCTTGCCCCCAGAGGCTTCTGGGAATTGTCCTTCAGAGTCTTTACTGATCAGACATGGACCTCGCAGGCCTGCATTTCCCACAATTCCACGGGGGGGCAAGTCCCAGGGGACTCTTTAAGTCTCAAAATCTGTCTCAAGTCTGGGCTTGCAGGAAGAAATGATCAGAGACCTTTCTCTCGGGTTTACATTTCCCACAAGGGCTTTGAGAACCATCCTCAGCCCTCAAGGTGAGGCAGAACGTGTCCTGCCCGAGAGACTGCTGGGAATTGTAGTTCATGTCCCTTCCAGGCTTCACGCACACTTGCTCCTTAGACCTACAACTCCCACCCCGCCCCCCCGCCCCGCGCCTCCCATTCCCAGACCTCGCGGAGGGGCCCGCCCACCAGGGGGCGTGGCCTGCCACGGGCCGACTCGCACCTGCAGCAGCTGGGCCCGCACGTGGGCCTCGACGAGATGGCTGCGGCGCAGGTTGCCGACGCGCCACATGAGGCAGAGGCGGCGGTCGCGCAGCGCCACGACGGCGTTCTCGCTGAAGACTAGCGTCTCGTTGCGCTTCTTGGGCTTGGCCATCTTGGCCATGACGGCGCCCACGACAAAGGCGTCCAGCACGCAGCCGGCGATGCACTGGAGCACCACGGCGGCCACAGCGGCCGGGCACTCCTCGGTGACGCTGCGCACTCCGTAGCCGATGGACGTCTGCGTCTCCAGCGCGAAGAGGAAGGCGGCCAGGAAGCTGGCCACCTGCGAGAAGCAGGGTGCGGGCGGCGGCGGGGCAGTCAGGTCGCCGTGCAGGGAGGCGATCAGCCAGAAGGCCAGGCCGAAGAGCAGCCAGGAGGCGAGAAAGGAGCAGGAGAAGAGCAGGCACATCCAGCGCCAGCGCACGTCCACGCACGTGGTGAACAAGTCGCTCAGGTAGCGCGCGCCCTGGCCGCCCAGGTTCACGAAGCGCACGTTGCAGTGCCCGTCCTTCTTGACGAAGCGCCCGCGGCGCCGCCCCATTGGCAACTGCGCTGGTGCCCACCCGTTGTGGCACAGCCCCGGCCCGGCTTCCTCCTCATCGCCCGCCCTGTCGTCTCCAGACTCCAGGGCGCCGCTGAGGCGGCGCAGGGCCCTAGCCAGGCCCATTGGGCGGGGACACCCCCTCCACTTGGCCTAGCAGGGGGCGGGCGCCCCGAACCTGCGGGGACAAGAAACAGGCAGCCACGTCAAGAGTGCCAGGAATGGGGGCCGGGGTGGGGCTCACTGGCCAGGCATACTTACTGGGCCTTAGTGACCTCATCTGGCAAATGGGTGGGAAATCAGAACAGAATCGACAACACTGATGGTAATACTATAGGAGATATTTGTGTAGCAACAACAACACAACTATAGTCGTAGCAGCAATATTGTGTTACAACGAGCACTACAGTTATTAGAGCCAGACAGTGTTGTGAACACTTTACATGAATTTAGATATTTCAGCCTCAGCAGTGTAAACATCATCGCCATTTTACAGATGAGGAAACAGGTACAGAATGTTTAACTTGCCCGAGGTCATGGCTAAATAAGCTGGGATTTGAGTGCTAGCAGTCCAGATCCAGAGTCCAGACTCATAAAGACAACACTAAACAGTCACAAAAAAAACAAACTTGTGGTTACCAAAAGGGAAAGGGGTGGAGACGGGGTGAGGGTTGGGGAGTGGATAAAACTGGAGTTTGGGATTAACAGATACATACTACTGTATATAAAAGAGATAACAAGGACCTACTGTATAGCACAGGGAACTATATTCAATATCTTGTAATAACCTATAATGGAAAAGAATCAGAAAAAGTACAGATATATAACTGAATCACTTTGCTGTATACCTGAAACTAACACAATATTGTAAGTCAATTATAATGTAATAAAAATTTAAATTAAAAAAAGACTGAATGGTAACTGCTGATCTGTATGGAGTCAGCTTGGAGAGATGAACCAGGGCTCTAAGTTCAGCTATGACTCAGAAGGTCAGAAGGAACAAACGACAGAAGGAAAAAAAGACAATGGATAGCTGAGCTTCATCAAAATTAAAAATTCTTGTGCTTCAAAGGACCCTAAGATGAAAGTGAAAAGACCATCTGCTAATGGGAAAAAAAATATTTGCAAATCATATCTAAAAAATTTGTATCTAAAACATATAAAGAGGCCTTATAACGCATTAAGAAAAAGACAACCCAATTTTAAAATGGGCAAAGGATCTGAATAGACGTTTCTCCAAAAAGATATAGTTGACCCTTGAACAATATGGGTTTGAACTGCATGGTCCCACTTATATGCAGATTTTAAAAAATAAATCCTAGAGTAGTACTACATGTTCCATGGCAGGTTGAATCCTTGGATTCAGAACCATGGATACAGAGGATCGACTCTGAAGTTTATACTCAGGGATTTTCCTAGTGGTCCAGTGGTTGAAAATCTGCATTGCAATGCAGGTGACCCGGTTCCATCCCTGGTCAGGGAACTAAGATCGCCCATGATGCAGAGCAACTAAGCGCAAGAACCACAAATACAGAGTCTTTGCACCACGAGGAAAGATCTTGGATGACACAACTGAGACCCGATGCAGCAAATGAAATAAAAAAGTTATACTCAGAATTTTGACTGTGGAGAGAGTTGGTACCCCCAGCCCCCATATTGTTCAAGGGTCAACTGTACAAATAGTCAATAAACATTGGAAAAGATAATTGACATCATTATACCATCAGGGAAATGCAAATCAAAACCAAAATGAGTTACCACTTCATACCCACTTAAGATGGCTATAAAAACAAGAAAAAACAGAAAAGTGTTAACAAGGATGTGGAGAAACTGGCACCTTCCTATTGCTATTGGTGGAATGTAAAATTGCACAGCTGGTGTGGAAAATAGTCTGGCAGTTCCTTAAATGGTGAAACGTAGAGTTACCAATTCCACACCCAAGTATCTACCCAAGAACATTAAAAACAAGTGTCAACACACTGTACACAGATATTCACAGCCACATTATTCGCAATAGCTAAAAGATGGAAACAGCCCAAATATCCATCAATTGATGAATGAATAAATAAAATGTGGTCTGTCCACACAATAGAATACTAGCCAGCAACTAGAAGGAAAAAAAGTGATAGATGCTACAATGTGGATGAACCTTGAAAACACCATGTGAAGTGAAAGAAGCCAATCACTAAAGACCATATATTGTATACTTCCATTTAAATGAAATAGCCAGAGGAATGGGATTTCTTATTGGGGTGATGAAAATGTTCTAAAATGGATAGCGGTGATGGGTACACACCACGTGGCACGCTTTAGTCCATGGGGTTGCAAAGAGTCGGACACAACTTGGCGACTGAACAACATGGTTGCACAACTCTGAATATACTGAAAACCACTGAATCTTACACTTTAATGTGTGAATTGTATGGTATGTGGATTATACTTCAATGAAGCTGTTAAGAAAACAAACACAAAAAAACCCAGGCTCAGCCCTGACTCTCAGATCATGGTGAAACCTTTCTAAACCTGTTTCCTCAGCTGTAAAATGGGGATGTTGGATTTCATCAACGTCAGGATCAAGTCGTATAGACCCAGGGTCCCATCTTGGCTCAGTTGCTGACCCACTATGTGCCCTGGGACCACCTACTTCAATTTTTGGAGGCTGAGGTTGCTCATCTGTGGAATGGGGATTAAAAAAAAAAAATCCTTGAAGAGGAATCCAGAAGAAAGAACTTGGGCTTTTGAATCAGGCATTTCTAGGCTGAATCCCACCTCAGGCACTTACAAGCGATATGAATGGTGGCAAGTCACATTTCTTTCTGAGCTTCAGTTCCCTTATCTGAGAAATGGAGGGAATCTTAGCTGAACCGGGGGATGCAGAGGAAGGAAGGGGCCCACATGGACTTGTAGACCACATTGCCCTCCAAGAGCTGCACAGTTAACATTTGGCCCGGTGGGGTTGTGACTTCAGGGACCTGTCTGGGCTAGGGGTTAAACGTTTTGCATCTGTCTCATCAATGCCTACCAAGTACCTAGGTACAATGAACTCCCTGTGCCAGGCTCTAGGGATGCTTATGGGCCTCTCGGCAGGGCTGGGGGCACTTACTCCATGATGAATGAGTTGTTAGTTGCTGTCAAGTTCAACACTGACATGTACCCACTCCCCTGCCCCACTGCTCTGCACCTGCTGTCCGTGACCACCCAGACAGTCTCCACCCGCAGCATGGGCACTTCTTAGGCCCATTCTACACAGGCAAAGCCAAGGCTCCAGTCAGTGGACCTGGTTGTGTGCACTGCCCACGATGTGCCCCAACTCTTTTTACACCCTCAACTTTCTGGGCATTAGAGGCTGTTCTTCCAAGCAGTGGCAAATGAGGCTGTTGAAGGGGGCAGATCTGAGGTTACAATACAGGCAAATGTTACTATTTGCAGCCCTCTCTTGCTCAGAGTCCCCTTTCAGGGACCACCTGATGACAAGATGCTGGAGGGGGGTGTTGGGTGGGGGCCTCCTCACACCCACACTGATGGGTGTGGGGACCCTGCTTCTGACGGGAAAGCAAACAGAGGCACTGAGGTTCATCCCTTGTCCCAGGTCTCTCAGTCAAAAAACGGCAGGCCCTGGACTCCCATCCAGCCTTCCTGGTGCCCAAGCCTGAGCGCCAGACTGGACCACAGACCACCTCATCACTCGCCCTTGTTTCCTGAGCACCTCGGTCCCCGGCCTTGCCAAGCTCCCCGAAGTCTGCAGCCCACCCACTGGGCTCACCTTGGCTGGGAGGTCAAGATCATCGCCCCGCTTCACAGGTTGGGGAACGGACTCAGAGATCTGGCCAGAGCCATGAAGTGCCGGGGGTGGGCTGCCGGTGTGAGTCCTGAGCCTTTCCAACCCAGTAACTTGTTTCCCTAAACCCTCCCGTTGTCACCCTCAGCCCCGCGAGGCAGACGTGATCTTGTCCATTTCACCAGGCAGGCTGGGGCTGGGGGGTGGGGGGACTCCTTTCACCTCTGGGGGGTCCCGTCAGCATCCAGCATGGCCCTGCGAGCTGGGATGGGGCTCTGCCTCGCCCACGCACCGACAGCACGATCCGAGGGAAGCGGATCCAGAGCCTCAAGCCCTCCCCCCGCCTCCCCCTGACCTGGGAGAGCAGCTTAATGTTTCCATATAAAGGCGACAAGGGGCTTAAGGTGCGTCAACTTCGTTTCAAAGTCACTGTCTAATCTGGGGCCGAGAAGCCCCGCCCAGGTGCTGCCCCCCTGCCCCCCACCATAGAAGCACTTTCACACGCTCCCTGAGACCCTGGCTGTCCCCCCCACGACCCTCCCCCCACTCCCCAGTGGGGCCTGAGCAATAGCAGGTTGAGGGGGCAGAAACTGACAGGTGCGGGTGTAGGGTGGAGACTGCAGACAGACCAGGGTACAGAGCACAAGAGATGGGCAGGGAGAGGCTGCCCTGAGGACGGAAGGACAGAGGACCTCCCCACCAGCACAGGCACCCAGAGGAGAGAGTGGGAGACAGAGAAGAGGCAGGTGCAACTAGGAGCACCCGGGCAAAGACAAGTAGAGATCCTATCTTAGGAAATGGAGAGACAGACCAGATCCGACATGAAGATGGGACAAGAGATACAGGATTGGCGGCGGGGGGGAATGGAAGACAGTGAAAATAAGGCTGAAAATGGAAATGGGCTGAGTTGGGCACCCCAGATCTGGTGGATGAGGAAGCGGGAGGATAGGGTGGGGGCATTGGGGCAGATGCCTGAGTGAGGAAGATGGTGGGGGGAGGCGGGGGGACAGCTCAAAGCCAGGACCCCTGCCTGGGGTCTCTGCATGGAGGCACGTACCTGGTGGGGCAGCCCACCCCCATGCCCTCTGCCGGGGGCTCTTCTGCTCGGGCCAAGGAAAGGTCTCTGTGGGTGCTGCGGTGCGTCCTGGGCCCCTGGGGCCTTGGGCTGGGCACCCGACCTCTGCGCTCACAGGCGGATCAGAGGAGTCCTAGCCCGCACGGCGGGGGGGGGCGGGGGGGGCGGGGGGTGGGGCCAGCTCAGAGCCGCAGAGGGGGAGCCAGGGAGGATGGCCAGGCAGGACGGCTGGGCTGAGGCCCAAGCAGGCTGGAGAGGAGACAGCGGTGGCGGAGAAGAGACACAGGGGGAGGGGGTGCGGAGACAGAGCCTGGGGGCCAGGAGATGCAGAAAGGTGGGGACACAGTTGAGGAAACAAAGAAACGGTGAGAAAGTGATGATGAGGGTAGGAGCGGAAGGATGAGAGACAGGGATCCCTGGTTCCCCTGAGATGATGCCTTAAGAGGGAGGGCCACACATGAGATAACTCTTCCCCAACGAGAGACCAAGAGTGAGTTCCAGATAGAATAAAGTTTAGGAGAGGCAGAACCAGACAGTGCCAATGGGCTATAGGCTGGACCCAGCAATCCAGGGAGAGCCAGGTGCCAAATCCTTCCTCCTCCTCGTTTCCTCATGAGACGGTGGCCAGAAGGACAAGTCCCCACAATTCAGGTTCCATTCTGGTCCTTTATTGCCTCTCAAGAGCCCCTAACTGCCCCCCGCCACAGTGCCTGTCTCTGGGAAGAGGGGAGAAGGCTCCACCCAGTCAAACCCAGCTGGCAGGAAGACAAGGGCCACACCAAATTCTGCTGGAGGAACCCACACGTCAAATTCGGTCCAGCCACTCTAAGGCACTTGAGTTCCCTGAGGGAGACCAGTGGCAGGGAGATCAGAGTCAAGCCCAGGGCCTGCAAATTGACAAAATACCCACAGCAACACAGGACACACCAGGCCTATCTGGGAAATGGGCTAATGGTCTCTTCTACAGGTGGGGCTCACTGGGTTGACCCAAGTCTTTGGGTCGGAGGGTTCACTGGAGACAACTGCAGTGGTTTTACAGGGCCATGGGTCAAACCAAGTGCTTCAGTTGGAGGAATCAAGGGCAGCAAACCAAATCTTACTTTTAGAGCCACTTACTTTTAGAGTCAAACCATCTCTCTTAGCAAGAGGGGCACTGGACCAAACCAAGTCCTTTCAAAGAACAGTAAGTGAAACAGAATCCATCATGGCAGACAACGGGCCAAACCAAGTCCTTTTGGAGAGGCGCTGTCCAGCAAATCTGAATGAGTCCCTTCCAGGGAAATGATGAACTTTCAACTTCAGTTCCAAGTAAGTGGAGGACCAGACAGACTCGGCCAGGCCAAGCTCAGACGCTGATGGTGCGGAAGACGGTGAAGCCCGACAGGGCGGTGCTAACCAGCACCCCGGGGCACTGTGGGTGCCAGTGCAGCTCCTTCAGATCCGTCTCGCCCTGGTGCACAAACAGCAGCTGCTGGGGGAGGTCGGCCAGCCCCGGGTCTGTCTCTGCGTCACCGGCCTCGGGGTCCCGCTCCACGGCCAGGTCCCACTGTGTAATCTGGTTGTCCGAACCCGAGGCCGCAAAGACCCCACTGTCCTGGGGGTGCCACTCGACGGAGGTCACGGGGGCCACGTGCTGCTTGAAGGTGGCCACTGGGGAGCCAGACTACGGGAAGATGGGAGTCAAGGCATCTGAGTCCCTCAGCCTGACTCCAGGGGTGACCCAGGCAGAGCCCCCCACCCCTCTCCAGCCTTAGGGTTCAGCCAGACCTTCACCCCTCCAGCCCCCAAAGACTGAGGGTCTCTTAAAGGGATGGAGGGCAGAGTACAGCTGATAATAAAGGGGTAGTGTCCCAGGGCCTGCTGGGAGTTGTGGCTTCACCTGCAAAGAAGCCCCTCCCAGCCCCAGGTCACAACCCCCCAATCCCTGCTCCTTTCCGGGCCTGCCTCTGCCTCCTTCCCTATAAAAGGAAGGTGTGGGGGACTTCCCTTGTGGTTAAGACTCTGCACTTCCAATACAGGGGGTGCCAGTTCAAACCCTGGCTGGCTGGGGAACTAAGATCCCATGTGACCCCATGCAGCCAAAATAAATAAATAAAACTGGATCTTCAAAACAAATTTTTAAAAGTAAATTAAAAAAATTAAAACATCCCACCACCTCCCCCGCCCAGAAGGCCAGGTTTTGTAAGTGCTCTCCCGGTGATTCTAGCCTTAAAGGGGGCACAGGCATGACTCCCAGGCTCGAGAGAGAGCAGATGCAAAGAAAAGCAGTTTTACTAAAAGCACGGCTGCTGGGGGGGGATCGGCATGTCTCTAACTTGGAGGGGTGGTTCCAATGTTTCAACCTGGCCCTGTGATCTTCCTGGCCATCCACCTGCCTGGGAGGGGGAAGGGGGCTGGAATCCACGTCAAAAAGCTTCCCCAGGGCTGATTCTGTAGAACTCATTACACTGGAGGAGGAGTAAAAAGACGATCCTGGGAAGGCCCAGAGGTTTATGGAGTCATGGCTTTGTCCAGGGCGAGGCCCAGAGCTCCCCTCAGCTACACAGTCACCACGAAGCTGGGCGATCATATCCTATCTCCTCCCATCCCTTCTGGGCTTCCGTGCCTATTCCCAGCATGACTAAGCTGAGCTCTGTTCTCAGCTGACCCTATGAAATCCACCTACAATCCTTGAGCCCTTGAGCCCCTGGGCAACATGGCCAGTGTACGGCTCCCCTCGGACAGATGGGAGTTGTAGTCTCTGCTTGGCCCAGCCCCATTCCTCCCGTCAACCCTCCAGATGGTAGAGGCAGCGACCCCAAAGCCTTCCTCTCGCTGACCCTGTTTCCTCATCAGTACCCCAGTTCTGATGGACCCCAGTTCTGATGGCAGGGCCCTGCCAGCTCTGGTGTATAAGCCATCTCAGAAGGGAAAACCCACAAATCCTAGCGGCTGCTGGGACGGTACCTTGAACTGCCGCAGGTCCCAGACCTTGAGGGCTCCGTCGTCCCCACCGCTGAGTAGGAAGGGCTCCCGGCGGCTCCAGTTGATGACGTTGACGTCCCCGTCGTGGGCAGTGGCGGTGGTGAGCATGCAGGCCTTGCTGGGGGCTGCCCGGATGTCCCAGATGCGGATGGAGGCGTCAGCTGAGCAGGAGGCAAACACCTGGACAGGGCAGAGTCGGAGAGACCCTGGTGGACCCCTGCTCCACCATGAAGACCGGGGACCAGTGGTGGGCCTCCCTTTCTTTTAGTGACGCCCCCTTCCCGGCCCCCTCCTTCCTCCCAAGACCCCGGAATTCAGACCCCCAACCCCTTCCTTACCGTGTCCTCGGTCGGGGACCACTGCAGGTCTTCCACGGAACGTGTGTGGCCCACAAATGGCCGCTGGTCCACGTGCCAGGAGCCCCCGTCCGCTGGCGTCCAGAGGTGGATGTTCTTCTGACAGTCACCGGTCAGCAGGCGCCCTGGGCAAGGCAGTTAGGACTCTTGACCTCATCACACTCAGCTGGCTGTGGCTCACCAGACCCTGTTCCCACTCACCCCCAGGACTCACCGGGCACACGAGGGGACCAGTCAAGGGCAAAGCCCTCGCCCATGTGGCCAGAGAAGGTGAAGATGGGCTTCACACGGGTCTGCTCATCCCGGAGGAAGGTGGCCAGGGCCTGGGGGTCATCCACTACTTGCAGGAGTCGCCGCAGTGCAAACACTTCCACCTGGCCCTTCTCTGACCACACGCCAGCCACCGGCTCCTCACCCAGCCACGACACCTGCAGGGTAGGGAGGAGGGGAGGGGAGGTGAGCAGGACAGGAGGCACAGCATGACGACGACAGCCCTTTCATCCCTGAGAACCAGAGCTGCCTCCCACCCAGGCCTGGGACTATAACTCCCAGAAACCTTTGCGAGAATAGGCTCACAACTTGAAGACCAGCTTGGTCTCCAGGACAACTCCCTCCACTGTGGTACAGATGATGGCGGAGGGAGGACAGAACTCCTGGACTCCCAAGAATTGAGCCCCTGGAAATCTGTTCAGACTTCTGGTCTCTGGAACTAAGTCTAGGCAGGTCCGAGGCCCCAGTCTCCGGATCGCTCTGCCTGTGTACCTTCGCTCACTAGGAGATCCTGTTCAGCCTCAAGGTTTCCAGTAGCCCCTAGCCCTGACCTCTCAACTCCAAGCTCACATCAAACTGTTTATAGACGCCCCAGGGCCAAAGCCAAGCTCCTAATGGCCCACTGCTACCTGCTCCTCCCTGGAGGTCCCCACCTTAGGCTCACTGCCCACTCGTCTCTCCCTCCTCACACTATGCTGGCTCCACCCACAACGCCACCACTTCCAACCCTTTCTCGGCAGCTCTGCTGTCATCAGTCAGGCTACTACTGAGGTTGCCCTGCATTCCTGTCCCGGCCCCCTCACAGGTCCCCGTCCTCCTGCCCTGGCCTCCATGCAGCATACAGACGGATCCCTTTAAAACACAAGTCAGGTCCCATCCGCCCTGTGCTCTAAACCCTCCAGTGACTCCCAGTTTCTCCCCACACAAAAGCCAAGTCCTTACGATGGCCCACAAGGCCCTAAACAATCTGTCTCCTCCGTGCCCACCTGCCAAACCCTGTCACTCTCCCCCTCATCCATTCAGCACCATTCTCCCCAACTTCCCTCAAAACTCCTCAATCAGTTTGCCCCAGGGCCTTTGCACTTGTTAGTCCCTTGCCAGGAAACCTTCTCACAGATATCCTTGCTTCACTCCCTCACTTCCTGTGGGTTTCGGTTCAAAGGGCACCTTATCTGTGAATGATTCCTTGACCACACTGTTTAACCTAGCAACCCCAGGGGCTTCCCTGGTGGTCTGGAATCTGCCTTTGCAGTGCAAGGGACACTGTTCTGATCCCTGGTCCGGGAAGATCCCACATGCTTCGGCAACAAAGCCCATGCTCCAGAGCTACTGAGCCAGTGCTGCAGAGCCTGATAGCGTCAACTACTGAGCCCACACGACGTAACTACTGAAGCCCTTGCTCCATAGAGCCTGTGTGCTGCACCAGGAGACGCCGCTGCCAATGAGAAGCCCGAGGATCGAAATGAAGAGTAGTCTCTGCTTGCTGCAACTAGGGAAAGCCAGAGTGCAGCAACAAAGACCCATTACAGCTAAAAAACTAACTAAATAAAACAGCAAGCCCATTCCAGAAGACCCTAACTCCCTTACCTTGTTTTATTTTTCTTTACAACACTTGGAGCATTTGGACATTACACATATGCTTAGTTTCTTATCCCCTGTCCCACTGGCATGTAAGTTTCATGGAGCCAGAGACCTTTTGTTCCCTGTTAACTCCCCAGGTCTAAAACAGTATGTGCAACATAGTAATACCTCAATGGAAACACTTCTCAAAAACTATGGGCTAAGCACTGCTCCAAGCACTATTGCACAGGGCATCTTGTTCAATTCTCACATCGACCTGATTAGAAAGAGCTATAATTCTGAATCACAAAAGTGATCCCACAGCCCAGGACACTCCCTGAGAAATAACAGAAAACACACAGATCTCATGTTACCGCCAAGTGCTGTTTCTAGACCCCTGAAATCATCGTATTTCAGTTATCGAAATAGGAGTACTGGCTATTCCATTTTATCTTCACATCAGCCCCACCAAGTAAGTTTGGTAATTCTCACCACACTACAGAAGAGGAAAGAACATTTTTAAAAAACATCCCCATGGCATCTAGCACATAGTGACAACGATCACAATTAACACATAACTAATTTAAAAAACTATGTGCCAAGTGCTCTTCTTAAAGCTGAAGGGCATGGACGTGGGGGATGGTGTGCTCCAGAGTACACAGGGCAGGATCCTAGGGATGCATTTACCCGAACTCTGTTGATGCCTCCATAGTGGGGCACCATAGCCAGCTCCAGCTGAGGCTTCCGCTCTTCTTCATCCTCTTCGTCGTCCTCCTCCTCTTCGTCGTCGCTGCCCTCGGACGGTGGGGGCTTTGTCCCATGCAGATTGTGCATCCGAAGCATCATCAATCTGGGGAAGGTGTGGGAGGAATGAGGCACAGGATGGCGGGATCCTTAGGAAGGAGGGAGGGAGGAGGCTGGAAACCCCGACTTCTAGGTCCTGAGGAAGAGGAAGCTGAAGGCTCAGACGCCCCTAGCCCTGTAAAACCTCAGTTCTTACCTGTTGCTTTGGGCGCTCTCGGCCTGGGTCCCAGCACACAGGTAAAGTGTAAGAGGAAGCTCAGTCCGGTTGTCTCCCAGGTGATCCCGGACTATGTCGAAGCTGAGACAGGGGGCGCCTGGGAATGGAAGGAGGGATGGGAAAATTAGGATTGGACAGAGAGGTCTCAGCCCTCTTGAGTGTAATGTCAATTCTCTTAGATCCTAATTTCTCTTTCAAAGAGCCTCTTTTGTTACGGGTTCAGAACCAGCTCCCTTCAGGACCCAAGATTCCAGTCTCCTCCTTCGTGAGGACCCAGGACACCGGGTGCCCAGCCCTACCCGTCTGTGCTCGGTGGTACAGCACGTAGGCCTCCTCGTCCATGACCAGCTCCTCTCCTTCGCGCAGCGGCGGTCCCCGACCAGGTAGATAGACCTGAGCCTGGCCCTTGGACCCTGTTTCTTGGGATTCGGTCTCCATAGACTCCCCAGTTTCACACGTGCGCCGCTGACCCCTGCGCGCCGCCATCTTCGAAGCCTCTCGCCGCTGGCGCTAGGTAATAGCGTCACTTCCGGGTTGCGGTTTCCCTTCTTAGGAGGACCCGCCCTACTGCGCGGTTACCTTGGAAACCTCCTGGTTCACCGTTAGACAGAGCGATGGGGAGAGGGCGAAGAAGAACTAAGAAAACAGCATCCTGGCTTGGCTACCGAGGCCTGCAGATCCGAGGCAACTATACCCTCCCCGTGACTTTGGGGCGCTCTTTCGCAGAGCGGCGGCAAGGCCTCCTGGGAGTTGTAGTTCTGCAGGAGCCCTGCTTTCCCATCAACTATACAGGCACTCCAGACTCGGATTCCATCTTCCACCTTTGATTCCCAATGCTTTCTTACTTAATTAATTATTCGTGTATGCAAATAAGAGCTTTTACTGGCAAGGAGGCTAGGTTTCTGCTCCCTGAGGATTCATAAAGCCTATTTCTTTTCCCCTCCTTGTTATGAAGGCTTTAATTTACTTCAAAATGCTTAAGTGTAGGCAGGATGATATGTATAAATTAGTTCGTTGGATCTACCCTCTAGGGGTAGTCAGTTGCCTAACCAGGCGTTCACTGTGCAGCCCTGGTCAGCAAGCACTTAATCAGAAAGTCCACCCTCTAGAGGCAGCTACTACAAGTGCTTCCGCTCTTTTTATTGCCCATCAACACCAGAGATTTGGCTAATTGGCATAATGAAATGTTAGAAATAGATTCTCATTGGTGAGATTAACAGAATTCAAGATATGTGAATTGGCTAGGATATAATAGACACTCACCTCCCTTGCATGAACAGGATATTAAGAACCTAGCAAGCCTCATTGCTTGCTGCCATAGGAATGGTACCCTAGACTTATCCTAAAATGTTATGACCCCAGATCTTTCTTGAGTTCTCTGACCCCTCTTCTCCTTCTGCCCCCACCCCTTCTCAGCCCACCCCAGCTTTTTTGGCCTAGCTGAGTAGTTTGGGGGATCTTAGTTCCCCAACCAGGGTTCAAACCCTTGCAGTGGAAAGGCAAAGTCCTAATCACTGACCGTCAGGGAATTCTCTCAGCCCTTCTCTTCTTAGGGTCTTTTCTCACCACTTCTTTCTGGGTCTTTATTTGCCACCTCCCTCCAGGATCTCTGTTCTTGCTGAAATTTTCTTTCTGCCCCCTCTTCCTCTGTAGGACTTTTCTCGGTTTCTGTTTCCTCCAGAGAAGTTTGAAGGGGACTAAGAGAAAGACACGGTGCTCACATTGGGCTTGAGGAGGCATAAAAACATGGGTTTATTCCAAACACTGCAATGTGGTACAGGAGAGAGGGAAAAGAGGTTGATAGTGAGTGTGGACTCCCAGACTCTTCCCTTCCACAACCCAGCTCCAGACCCGGCTGGAGATCTGGGAGGTGGAGGTTTTGGGGCGGGGTGGGGTGGGGTAGGGTCTGCTGCGTCTTTACTGAAAGGGTTGGATTTGGAGAGGATATGGCCGGTGGCACCTGGGGCTGGTCGTGAGTTGCGACAGGGTGGTAAGTTTTGGCTTGATGGAGGTTGGGATCAACGCTGGGGCAGTGGAGGCGGGGCTTCGTTGGGGGGCGTGTCCTAGGACAAAAGAGGGGAAAGCTACTGAGGGTGAAAAAGGAGAAGGGGGTGTCACGGTTTGACGTCGAGGGTCACAGTCTGGCGCTAGGGTCACAGTTTGGGGTCAGGGGTCACAGTCTGGGGTCGGATGACCATTTTCAGGGGTCGGAAGTCACAGTCTGGGGTCAGGGGTTTCTGTGTGGCGGGGCCAAGGTCTGGGGTCACAGTTTGGCGAACGCGTCTCACAGTTTCGAGTCCCGATGGATGAAAGGTTAAAAACGGGCTTCCCCGGAGGCGTGCCTGGGGGGCCGGGGAGCTGCACAGTGATGCGGGGGCCACGGCCCCGGGCGTGGGGGGTGGGACGCGGGCGTGGCGTGACCCCGCCACCTCCCGCCCCGTCTGGTGACGTTAAAAAGCCCTTGTCGGGTTTAAAAAAAAGTCCAGTGGGCTCTGAGACCCCCGCCCCCTTGCTCCCAGGCTAGGTGAGATTTGAGGGACCAAATCCCCTCCGGTTTGAAGTGCCCCCCATTGCGAGGGGCGCAGGACGCTGCTCCAGGCGGGGTCCGGCCAGTTCCATTTTCTTCATTTCCAACCCTCACGGGTCCTGTCCACCCCGCGTGCCCCCTCGGGCTGTGGCCTGCGCTGACCGAAGGGGCGGCGGGGCCTCCCAGGCCGCGTCATACCTCGGACTCGAGGCTGGAGAAGTGCGCCGAGCCCCGGCGGGTACCCAGGTCCCCGCCCCGGTGTCTCCGGTGGGGCGCGGCGGGCAGCGGCGGCCCCCAGTGAGCGGCGTGCGGGCACCGGCGCGCGTGGCGGGAGGGCCCGGTAAGCCTGCGCGCGGGGGCGGCGCGGGGACACGAGCTGAGGTCCTCGAGCGATCGCGAGGTGGGCGCGGGCGGCGGGAGGTCCCAGCCCCCGGCGGCGCGCCGGTGCCGGTGGTGGTGCGGCGCGGCGGTGGCCGGCGCGCGGTGTGAGGCCCGCGGGCGGTGAGGGTGCGGCCGCGGGCACCCGCAGCGGGCCCGGCGACGGTGCGGGGGCCCCGCGGCCCAGGGCGGGGGCGGCGGCGCCCACCAGCCGCCGTCCAGGCCGTCGTGCGAGCAGCTGAGATGGCGCGGCGGCGGCAGCAGCTCCAGGCTGGCGCAATGGCGACAGTGCCAGGCGGCGGGGCCGCTGCGCGGGGGCAGATAGTCCCAGCTGCCGGCGCGCCAGCCCCCGAGCTTGTCTACCGACCAGTAGCGACCCGGCGGCGGCCCGAGGCGCTCGGCATACGGGTAGGGGAAGTCGGCGAACCACCAGGGTTCTAGGCCGCCCAGCGACGCGCCGCCCAGGCTCTCCGAGTCCTCCGAGTCCGACGGCGACGGCTCGAAGTCAAGGTAAGGGCAGGGGGGCGGCGCGGCGCGGCACGGGGGCGGCGCGGCCTGGGCTCCAGCGCCCGCGGGCCCCGCGCCGCCCGCGCCCCCCGCGCCGGGACCCAGCAGCGGCTGGCTCTCGGGGTCCGAGCGCGGCCAGCGCGTGGGCGCAGGCGGGCTCTCGTCCTCGAAGGCCAGGCGGCAGAGCGGCGGCCCGACGGCGGTGGCCGCGGCGGCAGGGGGCGCGGGCGGCGACGGGAAGCCTGGGAAGGCGCCGGCGGGGGGCTCGGCCGGCTCCTTGTCGCGCACGATGGCGAAGTAGGAGGGCGGCGGCTTCTGTGGCGGCTGCGTGGCCGGCGGAGACAACGGGCGCCCAGTCGCGCCCCGGGGCGCTGCGCGCGCCTCTCCCACGCCCAGGCCCTGCGGCTCGATGGGGCCGTAGTAGCGGTGGAAGCCGTCCGCCAAGCCCGCGCCGCCCGGTGGCCCCACACCTTTGGCGCGGCGCCAGCGGTCCACGGCTGCGCGCTCGCGCGGCACGAAGGGCGTGGGGCCCGGCGGAGGCCTCACCGTTGGGTATGCAGGGCTGGGCAGCGGCTGCGGCGGCGGCGGGGGTTTGGCGGGCGGCGGCGCAGCCTCTGCGCTGCAGCAGCTGTACATGCCCTGTAGGGGCCGCGGGAGGAGCCGGGTCAGCGCAGGATGCTGGGGACCACCTGCCTTCCCTCCATCCCTCCGTCCTCTCCCGCACCCGACCCCTCCAGCTGCCTTCCACTTCTCACCATCCCTGCCAGTTTCTTCCCTTCTCTCCTCCTCCGCCCCCCTCTCTCCCCCGTACCCTGGAAAAGGCCAGCAGGAAATCCATGCGGTGGGTAGGCCCCAGGCAATGCCGCAGGCGCCAGTACACCAGGTGCTCCCAGGCGAAGACCAGCAGAGAGAGGCCCATGGCCACCAGGAGCATGTAGAAGACGCCTGCCATGTTGTCGATGTCCAGCTTGCTGCTCATAACCTCGATCTTGTCATTGTGGCAGATTCCGGAGAGCCACAGCCGTTCCAGCATCTCGATCTCATCTGCGGACAGGTGGGTGGGCGGTCACTTTCCGTGGGCACTCTCTGAGGATCCTCTTCTCTGATATGAAAGTCTAGGTTCTCAGACCCTCCCCCACCACCTTTCCCCAGAACCCAGGGGTCTTTGCCTCCCATCCCCCACTTTCCCTACCCACCCTCCCCTCCCCCAGGCATCTCTGCGTGCAGCCGCACCATCCCCCAGGAACTGCAGCAGTGCCAGATCAATGGGCCGCTTCCAGCGGGAACCCTTGTGCAAGGCGATGCCATAGCCCGTGGTGGCAAAGACCTTGCCCGAGCCAATGGTGACGAGCTTGCAGCCCTCATCTTTGCGGGCCATGTAGTTGAGCACAGCCGCGTCATAGATGAAGGCGTCCAGCTTCCTGCAGGCAGGGGCATGAAAGGCAGAGTCAGTCCCACCCAGATGCCCAGATGGCCAACCCAGAGCCCCGCTAACTCCTAACCTCCAACTGCTCCAGATCCTAACTGGTGGTGAACTCCTCAGCAAGCCACTGCACCTTTTTGTGCCTCAGTTTAAACACCTGTCCAATGGGGACAGCAGCAACACTCCCTTCCAACGATGGCTTGGAAGGGAGCCAAGGTGGTCCCACAGATAGCCATGGGAGCAAAGCAAGTGCTGGAGAAACGTTAGCTGTGAGTGTCAATGAAATAACTACTTGTTCAGTCCCTACTGGAACCTTCCAAAAGAAGGTCCTGCATATGCCTCTATTTATTTATTTTAAAATTGTATTTATTTAAATATTTATTTATTTGACTGTGCTGGGTCTTTGTTGTTGTCACTCAGTTGTGTCTGACCCTTTGTGACCCCATGGACTGCAGCACGCCAGGCTCCCCTGTCCTTCACCATCTCCCAGAGTTTGCTCAAACTCATGTCCATTGAGTCGATGATGCCATCCAGCCATCTCATCCTCTGTCACCTTCTTCTCCTCCTGCCCTCAATCCTCATCCTGTGCTGGGTCTTAGTTGGATCTAGTTCCCTGACCGGGCCCTCTGCATTGGGAGCCTGGAGTCCTTG